GTTATTTCGATAAGATTCGAAATAACACCCTTCAAGGCCAAGGGCCTTCACAAAAAAAAGGATATGGGTGCGACCTCGATCTAACTAAGACGGGTCGATATTTCGATAAGCTCGAAACGACCCCTTGAGGGTCTACAACCATCGGAAGAAAAGAAAAATCGGGACTCGTCAGACGAGCATCTATTTCACATCGAAGCCATGAACAATTCAAATAAAAAGTGAAGTACAAGGAAAATAGCGAAGAAAAGAACTTTTAATTATGCAAAGTCATAGTGCGGGCTACCGTCGCTTACATATGGCCCAGGCAAACCAAAGAAAAAAACAAAACAAACACAATAGTTAACAAATGAAATGGAAATAAAAATAAAGGGCAACATTCTTCATTCGGCTTCATCGCCGCCGTCACCATCACCACTATCATCACCATCTCCAAGAGGTTCTCCATTACCATCATCCGCATACCCATTAGCTTCAGGCGTCGTCGCGTCATATCCACAGTTAATGCGAGCCTCACGAGCTTTCGCCCGTGCTTCTTCATAAGCAGCCTCGGCCACGGTGCCCGCCTCCCACAAACTCTTATATATGTCCCGCTGGGCTTCAACATAAACCCAGAGCTCATGCATTTGGCGAGGAACGACAGCGAAAGATGACTCAACCTGAGCCCGTAATAGCTCATTTTCCGCCTCCAGGGCCGTGACCCGATCTCCTAGAACCGATGCCTCCTAATCAATCACGCCAATGTGGTACTCGAGCCTCGACTCCCTCAGGGTAGATGTCACTCTCTCCGACTCCTGTTCAGACTAGAGTGCGCGAATGGCGTTCTCTAGAGTCGTCGCCCTCGCCAAAGCCTCAGACCGGGCTCTCTCAATGTTCTCCAATCCAGCGACTTTGCTCTCCATCGCGGTCAGTTTTCTCATCCACTCCATGCTCATCGCCTCGGCCTTGACCAAGTTTCGGTCTATCTCCGACTGCATCAACCTCAACCCGCCCTATAAATGCTCGCACTCCGCTGCGACCCCCTTATCTAACTCGAGCACATCATCCTTAATGCGAATTTGCTTTTTCGAGTTCACTCTTGCTGCGGATGGTCTACATCAATTCCTGGTCCCTTTTCTCCAACTCCTTACCAAGGGCCCAATTACGGGGATCCGTCCTCAGCTGCCCGTGCATCTCGCGACATCTGTCACGATAGCGACGGTATTTCTCCAACATCTTCAAGAAAACCATTGCCCGGATGTTGGCCTTGCGAATGCTTTCCACTTCCACCATGTACGTCTGGAAAACAGAAAGATGGGGTTAAACTAGTACTTTCAAAAAGGGCGAAAGCATAAAACGAAAACAAAACGTAATGTACCCTCAAGCCCATGATGGTGACTTCGTCCCTCAATTCAGCATCGGGAACATCCAAAAAGGACTCGTTCTCAGCTTCGAAGCATAACAGGCTGAATTGCGGTACCAAATCTTCCCCTTCCGCCAGGAGATTAACACCGAAAGGGATTTGAAGAACACGGGCCGAGCCCCCCGCATTAACCACCGAATGAGTGAGACCCTCCTTAAACATCCTAACATCGTCGGGGTCCAGGTATGAATCAAACTCATAGTCATCAACCACCACGCCTTTTCCCCTTTCTACTACTGAAGAGGAAGCACGACATGCCGCAAAAGATGAGGGCACGTCTGAAGTCACAACAGGGACCCCAGAGGTCTGGTTCTCTACCAAGACCATGTGCTGATCTTCAACAATGGCAGGGACTTTTGATTGAGCCAAGACGGTGGCAGGAGTTTCTGGTTGCTGATTGTGGGCACCGACAACTTCGACGATTTGCTCCGCCCATGTGGGGGAGCCGCAGTAACATCCCCTTCGGGGCCCGTCAGAGGAGAGTCGTCTAGGTGAATTATTGTTGGGGCGCCGTCTCAAATTCTACTCTCCATCTCTTCAATGGCCCCTCTTCCTCTCCAGTAGACGGCGACTCGTCCGTTTAGCGAATGACATTGGTCGGGACCTCGTCTTGGGAAGCGGCCCTCGCTGGAGTAATCAAGGCCGCAGATTCAATCGAAGCAGCCCTCGATGAAGGTCGTGCAGTGGATACTGAGATAGGGCGAGCATATGAGGCCGGCTGAAGAAAAGCTAGTTGAGGGGCCCTTGCTCTCCACACCCTCCATGGCAATGACGAACGATGCATAAGAGGCTAAAAAGAGAGCATAGTAGATAAAGACGTTATCTCACCTGTAAGGGGCCTGCGTCCGAACCTCTCGTGAAAGGTCAACCATGTGCGAATCCCTACTGTATGGGGAAGTATGGCCTCCACCCACTCACGAATCCCTTCAACAGGCGGAGGAGGCAATCTCTCAGCTGCAAAGACGAGAGAGTTTAGTACTCGCAGAAAATGGTCGAACATTTCACTAACTAAAGATGCAAACTTACGTGTGAAGTTCCATCTCTTAAGGAATCCCGTTGGGTCCACCACAATGTGCTTGGTCCGCACATAAAAGTAGTTCTCGTAGAAACGACGGTTGGTCCTGTCGTCCATCTTCACCACCAGACTCCTCGACCCCCGAGGACGCATGTAAATCATCGAACCACGAATCAGTTGAGGAGCAAAAATGCTAAGCATATGGTCCAAAGTGACCTCACGACCGGCAAGTTCCGCGTACTTGAGCAGCATAAGGAATAACTTGTACAAATAAGGTGAAAGCTGGGCGGGGCACACTTCATAGAAATGGCAAAAATCCACCACCAACATGGGAAGAGGGAGTGTGTACCCTACAATAAAGGGGTAGGCGTAGAACACGCAGTACCCGGGACGGTCGAAATGAACTATGTCGTCTCCCTCCATCGGCCGCATATCAACGTAATTGGGGATTCCCCACCTTTCTTTCAACTCTACGATCCCCCTTTCCCTCACGACGGAGGGGACAGGTTCCGGCTCCGCTCCGCCGCCAAAACTGAAGTCAGTCGCCTCTCTCCCTAGGCCAGGCAAGATCTCAACCACTGAGGGAATCTCCTCATCTTCTTCCGCATCCGCCCTACCGGTGGCCTGAACAGAACTCTCCGGTACCTGATTAGCGGCAGGAAGATTGTCACGAGAAGATTCACCAGCCATATTTTAGCAGAGAACGCACCAAAGAAGTAATAAGAAGAAGAGATGAAAGATTTTAGTGCACAAGAAGGTAAGCAGATATTCGAGGTATCAGAAAAAGCTANGGGGGGGGGGGGGGGGGGTTGGATTCTTTCAAGAAGAGGAAAACAAAAAGTTCCTTTCTTGTATCCTAGAAAAATGGGAAGATGACCTCGAAGAATACATGTAAATTTACTTTCTCATCGGTTGATGAAGAAGAAAAAGTTGAATCTTAATAAGATCAATCATGCCTATTCCGTCTCATATGCAATCATTATCATTAACGCTTCGATTCGGAATTAATTATATTCGGCTAAGATTTACCCCTTTATTTTTGATTGATTTGTTCAAGAAGGTTTTAATATCTTTTGAGTCAAATAATTACGAGACTACAAACTTGTTATTCTAATTAAATATACATGGATAAAGTGCAAAATTCTGACTTTCTCAGTCTTGTTTCGTTTGGATGTTTCTCTTTCATTTTTGGTTTCTAGTTTGCATCTTGGTTGGAATGTCCTGCTTCCTCCCCTGCCCCTGTTAATTTCAAGTATACTTTCTTATTGAGCAAAATATTATTATTAAACAATTTTTTTGGGATATAAAAAGCAAAAGAGATAAATTAAGATAACATTACAAGAGATTCTATGTAACTGCTCAATCACTTTTCAAGAATTATATATATTGTATAAGAAGAAATAGTTTATTTTCTTTAGATCTGAAATTATTGACTCTGTTGCATCTCTTGTGAAATCGTTTATTTCAATTTCCTTAGCAGGCTTTAAAATATTTTACGACCTTTTATTGAACTATATATGACGTAATTTATTATTATTACAGTCAGACCTCTCTATAACATCATCCTTATATTACAACACTTTATTATAAAAGTCAAATTTTTTCGAAATCAAATGTCATCTTTTGTTATAATATATATGTTCTCTATAACAGCAATTCGCTATAATATTCAAAAATATCCGAAACAAACAAGATTGTTATAGAGAGATTTGATTGTATTTATTTAGATTGACAAAAATGTATCCATGTATTGTGTATAATTTTATTTGTTTTATTAAGACAGCTCTTATAATTGTGACACTTTTGTATAATGAGTAGGTGTAGCAAATTTTGTACTATGAAAACAGAAGTCCAAGTATCAGCAATGACGAGCATGTTTGTTTGTCTCGTATAATACACAACCTTTTACCCTCAAATTCTAATATGTGGGTGCAAAATGCTATTGTTATTTTTCATAGATATCTAATGCATTTTGTCATTTTTTTTGTCTTGATTTACATATTCATCATTATTCTGTCGCTCCTATCAATGTTTACTTACAATTAACCAAAAACGAGTTCTAATCTACATAATAAGAAACTCTTTGAATAAGCGAGGCTTAGTTCTTATGGCAGAGCACGAGGAGATTATTATTAATACGATGATTGGAATGAAAACCAGAATTACGACTAGGATTCTCGTGATCCAAGACAATTATCTATTTGTTTTTTCAGTTATACCTAAAAGTATTGTCATTTTATCTCGATCTTTTTCAATTTCACCCAGCACCAACCCACCTGAAATAAGGTAAAAGTCTGTTTCCGTCATTTTGTATGAGACTCCTTCTTCCTACAAATGCTCGTAGTTAGTAAAATTTAGTTACTTTAATACAAATAGTGATAGTGTAGTGACTTATATTTGTAGTGGGTAAAATTCAATGATTTTATGTTATGTGAGAAAAACTTCGGTTATTTCAATTTGATATAAGATAACTTTGTGATTAAATTATTCTATTATAATGAATAAAACTCAGTAATCAGAAGTGAAATTAATTCCAATAAATATATCAATGTGATTGTATAGGCTAATTAGAATTCCAATAAACTACCAACACCGAGAAATATATCTCGCTACTCCGACTTCACTCAACGAGAACTTCCTTTTCCTATGGACATCGGCGTTCTATCCACAAACCAGGTAATTGCTTTTAACACACAAAAGGAAAATATAAATCAAATCTCCAGTTTTCTTGTGGCTTTCTTTTCTTGTAGGGTTTTGGTTTTTACACTTTCTAAATCCGTTGTCAACTTGGTTTTGGAAGATAACGCTCCCTTTTCTTAGTGCTATAGTATCGGGTTCATCTGAATCCAGTACTTTTACTACGAAGTATAAATTTAGTGTAAAAGTTCACTAAAATTTGCAACATACAATAGGTTTGAACCCATAACTTTAAAAATATAATATGTTCAATACTAAGAACCGTAAAGTCTGAACTCATAAAATTAAAATCCTGAATACACCTATATTTTTCTTATACTTTGTGAATCCTCTGTGGCAGGCACCTCCTTTTGCTTAAGATTATGGAAAATAATTTGGCGATAATGGAAGAGACGGATCAAATTTCCATGTTGCCACAGGCAATTTTGGACCATATTCTGTCTTTTCTTGCTATTAAAGATGCTGCAAAAACTAGTACATTGTCCAAGGTTTGGAATAGTGTTTGGATTTCCCTCTCCTCCTTACAATTTTGGAATAGTGTTTAGATAATATCAAAGAGCTGTTTTTAGAGGTTGGGATATACACTTACAACAAGTTACCTGAAGTAGTCTTTGCTGCCAAATCTTTAAATGTGCTTAGTTTACGTGGATTTAATCTTGAATTACCCTCGGGTGGCATAAAGTTTTCATCTTTGCGAGACTTATACCTTGTTGATTCATATTTGGACGAGCAATTACTTCAAGCTCTATGCGCAATTTGTAGACATTTAGAAGTTTTTTCTTTAAGTGGATTTCATGGACTAATGAGTTTACAAGTTACAGGAACTTTACCGCCATGTAATTAACATAACTGCTTGCAAATCCGTAAAGCATTTGAAGCTCACTGCTATGGCTGTCACTGACCAATGGTTAGAGGACCTTTTTACCAATCTACCCAACCTTGAAATCTGTTACTTATTTTCTTGTTCGTCGTTGAAGATCATTAAGATTTCAAGCTACCGACTTAAGCTTCTGAAAGTAGTCTCGTGCTATAATCTGATTGCGGTTGATCTGGATACTCCTAACTTATTAAGAATTACTTCTGATGTTCTTCATGGAAAAGAGGAACTCTTGTTCAAACTGAAAGCTTCGCAATTGCTAGAAGCTAAGATCAAATTGATTCCAGGCCTAGAAGCCCTTGACACTCATTGGTACTCTAAGCTCGCGAATTCTCTTGGTAACTTTAATCTTTCCAGGGCTATTACACTAAGCTGTGACGAAGACAAGGTACGTGCAACGAATTGTCTACTTGCCCTGCCTGATGAAGCAGTTCTGAATTTCTCATAATTCTTCTTTTTGCTTGTGCAGGTGATAGTTATACCAAAAGACATGAGAGAAAACTTGATTCCTCCACTTTCTGGTCCCAAGTGTTTGCACATTAAAATTATGGATCGGTCGAATTATTCAGTTGTGGATGTTGTTGATAGTTTGCTTTGGATGTCTCCTCAACTGGACACCTTATCTGTTGACCAGGGTCGAGACTTAAAGAGCGTGATCAAGGTACTATATATGCTTTATCTTTCAAAGGCTAGTGGTTCTTGCACCCTTGCTCTTTATGTAAGGTTTTCTTGCAATTAGTTTCCTTTTTTACATGCCTTTTGATTCTTTATTTCAGTGACAAAGCCTTCATACTTTGTTTTAAATCATTCGTTTACCTTAACAGTTCAATTATGAGCAGATTAGTCAAAACCTAAAAGTTAGTCGACCAACATATGTGAAATTGTAATTTACCTACAGACTAGTAATTTTGAGCCTGTTATGATTAGTGAGATTACAAGATTCTTGTAGGCTACTACTATCTTTTACCGATCAAGAAAAGACTCTTGTAAGCTATAAAAAGTTTCTATATAAACAATTCCTCTCCAAAATATTTGAGAACATATTGATTTGTTGGCTGGTTGATCTGTGAACAGTTGGACAAAGTTCTCTGTGGTTTGTCAACTTCAAGAAATAGTATAAACACAAGGATTTAATTCATAATATCATGATTGATTGTTATGAAGACATTTATTACCTTTGTTCCTGTTGTGGTTTTCCTGGTTTTGTAGTTTACATACAGCGATGCAGCAAATGAAGACGAGAAACCTTGTTGTGCATCTCTACCTTGGAAATGTTGGAAGCATGAGCTAAAGAAAGTTAAATTGCAGAACTTTACATGTACGGAGCTAGAGAAACTGAGAAACTATTTTCTCTCAAATACAGATATATTGGAGAAGATAATTGAAGATCCACCATAATGAAGCCTTTTTACTTCAGTTCAGTAGCTTTACTTTAACTAAGTTTCCATGGTTCCTTATGTGTAGTTGCATCTAGCTAATTTTAGGTTTTGAATAAATTTTCTACTGTACTAGAAGCAGGTTGTGTACTCGTCAATCATGGGCGATCTCTCTTGGGACGTTTGTTTGCAATGACATTGTGCTTTGTTTTTTGTTTTTGTTTTTTTTGGTTTGGAAGTTTCAAACTTTAAGCAAATTATCCTAGACATTATTTTGAAGTTCATGTATTTGTGATCTTGTTGATCAGCAATAGTGAGTATTTGGTTGTCTGCATGTTTTACTTGTGGGCATAAGCTTTTCATTCTTGTTATTAGCAAAAAATTTGTTCTTTTCAAGTAGTAAAGGGTACAAGATGTGGAATCACTGATGATTTCCTATCTTCATACTGAACATTTTCACCAATTCTATCAATCTAAGTAATGTTGCAAAATAGAAACTAAAATATCATCAAACTTAGAAATCTATACAAAATTCCCTTCAAGATTTCGTTTTTCATGATTAGAATGTTGCCAGAGTAGTAACAACTTGGCCGAGGTTTTTAAAAGTTTAGCCAATAACTAATTGCTGCTCAAAAGTGCTTTTCAAATTGATTAGTCAAACACAAACTGTTTTTCACCAAAAGTACTTTTCTTAAAAAGACTTTTAGAAAAAACACTTTTCAAAATAAGATGATTTTAGAAGATTAGTGAAACAGGCTATTAAAAGTACTTTAATACTTGACCAAACACTAATTGTTGCTCAAAATTGCTTTTCAAATTAATTAACTAAATATAAACTACTGCTCACCAAAAATACTTCTTAAAAAAAATAACTTTGAGAAAAAACACTTATCATAATAAACAGATTTTAGAAGCCAAATAGGCTAGTAAAGTGACAAAATATTGTTTGTAGGGATGTTAATGGTTCAGCTCGGCCGGTTATTTTATAAAATTTGTACCATACCAATTTTTCGGTTATTCTATTATGTATAACCAAAATTAGACTTTCTGAAACCGTCCAAATCATGTCGGTTTATCTTCGATATCGGTATGGTTCGGTTAATTTTTTGTATTTTTTTAAATATCATGTACAATTCACCAGTAGAAGTAGAATGCAATAACATATGTTCTTTTATAGGACTTAGCAATACTCTCTAGATATTTTTACTGTTTAAAGGGTGATGAATTAAAAAAAAATTAAAGGTGACTANAATCACACGAGTGGAAAGATATTAACCAAGCTGGGACTCAAGAATAAAGTCTATAGAAGATTAAATATTCAAAAAGATAAATCTAAATCATATGAAAGGAAACAATTCAATATATTGTAGTTTGCTACTCATAATTGCTAGAATACTTTGTGTCTTGCTAATAAAGATACTTGAAATAACTTAGTTTAAGTAGAAGTAACATAATAGGTTTTAGGAATTAGTATTTTGAGTTTAATTACTTGTTGACTTGTAATAGTTTTCATAATTCCAAGGCCCAAAGAAAAATTTAATTTATTATTATTTTTAAACTTACTAGATAAATATATTTTCCACATGTAAAATTTATTCGATACGGTTCGGTATTTTTTGGGCATATTTTTATAAAATAAAAAACCTACCCTAATTATCGGTGCGGTTATAGATTTATATAAAAATATACGGTTTCTTAAAAGAAACCTAAAAAATTGGTTCGGTGTGATATAGTTCGATCGATTTAGTCGGTTTTCCAATATCCATTGACATCCCTAATTGTTTGTACTGCCCAATAGGAAAATTTATTTCCTTCAAATTCCTTCATTTTTCTATTGTCAAACTAAAACAAGAACAAACAGTATAACATTTTTTCATCCCTTAAAGATGTTACTTTTAGAAAAAGATAAGAGTAATACGATCTCGATTTTTAATTAATAAAATAACCTAAACAAAGAAAAACATTAAAATACTTCCATATTTTCAAATTCAAACAAGTAAACAAATGGAGTAATAAGATTTCAAAATTGCCACGAGGCACTAATCAAGTTGACAACTGGCAAAAAAAGAAACTACAAAAATATCAAACGCGCCTTAAGCCACCTTTTCTTTCTCAAAAATAAAAATAAAAATAAAAATAAAAATAAAAATATTAAAATGTTCTTCTTCAATATCCTCCATATCTCCTAACCCAACTTGTAATGTGAACGTCCGCTCTTTCCTCATTCCACAAGCGCTACAGTTTCCACCGACCTTTCCCTTTATAGCCCCACATCAACAAACCCTTCTCCTCTAGTTTCTTCTTTTTCTTTTTCATGTTCTAGATCTAGGGTTTTTTTGTTTGTTTGTTTTTTTTTTAATTTTTTAATTTTTTAATTTGAGTATTTACAAGTCAAAAAAAGCCTTATTAGGTTACCTTTTTGGTCTGGAATTTTGCCTCAATAATAGTTTTGATTTCGAATTTCCGATCCATTTCTATTTGGTGATTATATTGAACTACTAGAACAAGATTTTTGGTTTAACGATGGGGGTTTCCAATTGTGCTACTACTTTGCCGCCGTCCAAGCAGTATGGGGTGACGAAACCTTTGTCTCTAGCTGGGCCTACGGAGGCTGATATTCAGCGTACCAAAGAGTTGGAAAAGGTTTGTTCTTTAAGCTTTCTTTTTATTTACTATGTTGTTTTTTCCTGCTCCAGTTTGTGTATTTTGATGTGTTGGTTTTGTGGATTCTAGTTTTTGGTCGGTGCTGGACTATATGAAAGCGCTGAGGAGGCTGCTAAGAGAGAACGAGTTCTCTGCCAGCTTAAGCAGGTAATCCCGTGCTCCCTCTTTTATCATTTGTGTTTTGGTGATTACCCAACTAAATTATTAGGAGGAGACTAATTTAGGATTGAGCGTGTCGATTGGCCCTAGTCAACTGTATCTTATTAGCCTATACTCTATATCCTTTGTTATGTCTAGATATAGGTGTGCTGGTTCAGACTTAAGGCCTTGATTATAAAGAACTTAGGATAGATCCTTTTATGGCTTAGGTTGATGGATAAGGACTTGGGCGGTGGACTTTCAATAATATTTAATTTTAAGTGTTCGTAGGACATTAGGATTTAGAGAACCTCTAATTTCTCTTAAAAGAGAAAATTTTGAATATTGAAATAGAAAGTGTCCAAATGGAGCAGAATGGATATTGAGAATTCATATAGCCAATTTAACTAGTTTGGGATCAATTTGTGGTTGTCGCCCGGCACATTAAGGGTTGTGGACTCTACATGATTTTGACTTTCAGGCATTCCAGTAAATTATGTCTGGTGCATGTGTAGTGAGGAGCAGTAAGAAAAATCATGTCTTTAGTAACTTATGAACTTGGCTTGAGTAGGCTGTGAATGGTGACTGGATGCGCTTTGGATTGGTAAATATTGGATGGTCATTTGAATATTCAGCTGATAGAGAATTGATCAGTTGCTTTGCTTTTTAGTAGAAAAAATTTATCTTCCTAAACTTAGTGAAACAGATAATATTGCTTTTCCCCTTTCACCTGCATGGCAGCATTTATTAATTGTTAACCATACACTTGATGCTTCCTTGTTTTCCCTTGTTTGGATTTTTGGGTCTCTGTTTCAGCACTAATTTATTAGTTGCTAATCTGCGCTTGATGTAACATTTGATGTATTAAATGCCACTGTTTTTCTTACTAAGCAAGTTTAATATCTGATCACTAATATTTCCAGTTTTATTTTGCTGGAACTTATCTTCAAATAGATCCAAACTTTCCTTTTTTCCAACTAGTGCCTGGATTGTTTCCCTGATCTTGATGAAGAAAATTATTAAAACTGGATCCATCATTCATGTTAGGTCGTTCTAGGAGTAATTGTTTCTTTTCTCAATAATGTTTTTTCAATAATGTAATCATTTTTTAAGTTGCAGGTAAGGATCGTTGGTAAATATTTTTCACTGAATTTTTTTGGTTAATAAAGGAAGCTAAAATTTTGTTTGTGCATACCCCTCAATGTCTTGTAAGAAGAACGGAAGTAGTAGTCTAAGCTTTATCCTTCCCTTTTCCTATCATATAGTTCATTTCTATTTTGGCCCAATCCACTCTTGTGACACTTTTTAATCTTTTCCTTTAGATTGTGAAGGATTGGGTGAAAGAACTTACTCGACTAAGAGGGTACAATGATCAGATGGTTGAGGATGCAAATGCTGTCATTTTAACCTTTGGTTCTTATCGCCTTGGGGTAAGCAGCTTCTTTTCTGAAGTTCCCATGAACAATATAAACTTAATTGTTTTGGTTGTCTATGCATCGAATAAGTTCAATACAGACCTAGAAATAGTTGCGAAATTGTTTGCCAACTACCAACTAGGAAGGGTTTCAGTGTTACTATAACTGCAAGGTGTGAAATTAATTGTATGCAAGCACGAAACGATGTTGGCTTAAATAATTCCTGTTTTGTGGTCAGAGTGGTGCTAATATCCCACAAAAGCTAGGGAAATATCCAAAAACAAGCTTGTGTGGCATCAATAGTTTGGTGGGTCCTAAATTGAGTGGACCTCATGCATTATGTCTTGTTCTACAGACTTCAGAATTCACTACAAAACTGTTTGTTTCACACAATTATCCCTTCTGTTACTATTCTCAATTTGCAACCCAACAGATTAGTTTACTCAATTGTCCTTCCTATTGCTTTTCATTGAGATAGATGCTTCTAAAGGGAGCTTTTCATTTGTAATTTGGTCGAGATATTTTGACTTATGAGGAGTCTCAATGGACTCTGGAATCACCTCTGAGGCTTGTTGAAGGAATTAACTTTTTCCTAAATTTTTTAACCAATGGTTAAATGATAATCTAGATGTCCCTTACATCTGAAACTTCATCCTTGGGAAAAGAGTTTTTTGGGGGGGGGGGGGGGGTATTGATGCTATTGTATTCTTGAAGCTATTCCCGTCACACGGATGTATTTACAATTATGTTCTATAAGCTTTACATTTTCCTGGAGAATGTTTGAACCATTCCCTTAGCAGCGCTACTTAACTAATTATAAGATTCCTTTTTGTAGGTGCATGGTCCTGGAGCTGACATAGACACCTTATGTGTTGGACCATCTTATGTGAATCGAGAGGTCGTTTTAGTTTCTGATGTCCTTTAGCAACTAGCCATTTAATATAGCATCTAATGCTGACATTGTTTACCAGGATGACTTCTTCTTTGTATTGCATAATATTTTGGCGAAGAGGGAAGAAGTTACTGAACTGCAACCAGTTCCAGATGCACATGTCCCCGTTATGAAGTTTAAGTTTGATGGGATCTCAATTGATATTCTCTATGCAAGCATTTCTCTTTTGGTTGTACCAGATGTAAGTGTTATTTCTTTGTGATAGCGTCCATTTCCTTTTGGTCTTTCCGAGGAAAGGGAAGGGCTTTTTCTGTACTCCAACCTTGCTTTAGAAGAAGTTAATTTGCCTGCACAAAGATTTGTTCTCGTAAAAAGCCCTGATTTCTGCTTGTATTCTGGGTGCTTAATCCTTTTCACCTGCAGCAGCTTAACCCTGTCTGGATCTGAGGATTTATACATTCTTTAATTTCATGTGTCCATGGTATACCTATAACCATTCCTTGGGCTTACCAAGTCATGGGGTCCTGACAGGATGGGGACACGTAAATGCTCTATTTTCTCAAATTTGAATTGACATCCATGCTATGGCATTAGTCATCTTAGACCACTAATAGTAGTATACCTGATGTTGTCTTGCGACATCTTCTTGTGGACAGGATTTGGACATATCCAGTGAATCCATGTTATGCAATGTTGATGAACCAACTGTAAGGAGCCTCAATGGCTGCAGGGTGGCTGATAAAATCATTAAACTTGTTCCAAATATTGAGGTGATGATCCCCAACCAAAAAGGAAACAATAGGGAGAGAAAATATTTAGAACATTCTGTAGTAATATCTCATTTTTCTTCTACACTGCAGTTTTTTCGGACCACGCTTCGATGTTTAAAGTTTTGGGCTAAGCAGCGTGGTGTTTATTCAAATGTAGGTTTGCATTTTTCTTGTCCCTCCTCTTCGGCTTATTAATGTCTGTTCTTTCTTTGACCCATTAATTTTTTCCCGTTCTGAATTGTCTCTTTTAGGTAACTGGATTTCTTGGTGGAGTGAACTGGGCTCTTCTGGTTGCTCGGGTTTGCCAACTCTATCCAAATGCTGTTCCGAGTATGCTGGTGTCTCGTTTCTTTCGTGTATATACTCAATGGCGTTGGCCAAATCCTGTGATGCTTTGTCAGATAGAGGATAAAGAACTTGGATTCTCTGTCTGGGATCCAAGAAAAAATCCTTGGGACCGTACACATCAGATGCCAATTATTACACCTGCCTATCCTTGCATGAACTCAAGCTACAACGTCTCTGCAAGTACTCTTCGAGTTATGACAGAACAATTTCAATTCGGTAACAACATCTGTCAGGTATAGATAACCCTCCTCTGTAATTTATGTTGTATTTAGCTAGTACTGGCTTTACCTCTTTTTGCTTTCCCATATCAGGAAATTGAGCTGAATAAAGCTCAGTGGACTACACTGTTTGAGCAGTATCCTTTCTTCGAAAGCTACAAGAACTATTTGCAAATTGACATAGTTGCAGCTGATGATGATGACTTGCTTGTGTGGAGAGGATGGGTCGAGTCCCGGTTAAGGCAGCTTACGTTGATGGTAACATCTATTACTTGTTGGATAACTGATGCTCAGGAGGCTTTGGTTCCTTTACTTGAGCCTCTACAGAAGGAAAAAAGAGAAGGTAGTAAGTGAAGCAAAGGTTTCCCGTCTATTTATAATTCTTTTTTGTATATTTGCAGATAGAGCGGGACACATATGGGAAGTTGCAGTGTCATCCTTATCCCCATGAGTATGTGGACCCCTCCAAACAATGTGCCCATCGCGCTTTCTTCATGGGTTTGCAGAGGAGGCCAGGCGAGTTGGTTCAAGAAGGCCAGCAGTTTGATATTCGCGGGACAGTTGATGAGTTTAGACACCAAATAAACATGTATATGTATTGGAAACCAGGAATGGAAATGTTGGTCTCCCATGTTCGTAGAAAGCAGATTCCATCTTATGTTTTACCTGATGGCTATAAGCAAAGCCAAATAGCAAGGGTAATGAGTGGTCAGCTGGCAGAGAAACCATCCTGCAGCGGTAGTATATGCAGGTCAAAATCTGGAGAAAGAGGGTTGAAAAGGAAAAAAGAGCTTGAAGGTGCAGAAGAGAAGCAACAGAGTCAGGACAAAAGACCATCGGTTAGCCCTCCAAGAAGGGATTCACTCTCACCTGAACTTATTGTTGGTCAGAAAGGTGGCATGTTCTTACAACAGTGTTCCTCGACAGTTTCTGGAGGGAAGAGAAAGAGTGATGAAATTTCAAATAATTTCACCAGTGATAAGATGCAGTTTGCTATTCTGGACAAAGATACCTGCGCTGAACCAAGTAATTCACAAGGAGCACAATGTGCAGAAAGCGCTGATGGATGTGTCCACCGTTCTAGTGGTGTCACAAACCTTGTAGAGGCTGGTACATGTGAGGATCCTGCGCATGAATTGCTCCAACTCAGCCATGGCGGTCATCCAGTGGGCAGTACTGGTTGCATCTCTCTCTATTCCTCTCAGGGCGACTTATACAGGGCCGAGTCCAAGTCACTATCAAATAATGTATGTGAAAATGGTTCAAGATCTTTTGGAGATGCGTTGCTGGAGTTAGAGGTTTTGCATAAGTTTATTTTGCCTCTTATCTCTCTGACGTCATTGATTTTTATAGTTCATTCAATCTTTTTTCTTATGCCTTTACCATGAGTTAGATTCGACACTACTGTTGCAATTTGCATGGTTCTGACCTTTAACCAGTTTCATTTTGTTTTGCGTTTCATGAAGCCAAGAGCTCCGCGTGGAATGTTAACATCACTGGATAGCATTGGATCAGAGCCTGCGCAGAAATCTTCTATAAGGCATGTTTCATGTTTTGAAATTTCATTTGCATTTTGTTTTAAATAACAGACTTTGTCTTTATCGTACTGGTTTTTGGTTGCTTTTTTATGGTTGTCTTGTAGGTACAGTGTTACGTCAACAGCTTGAAAGAAGTGGAGCTTCATTTGCGAAAGTCCATGCTGGAAACAATGCCAGTCGAGGGATGAAAAGCCAGCTCAACGGGGTAAGTATAATGTTACTTGCTGGCTTTCATTTCTCTATGCTTCTTTTTTTCCAGGAGGCTTGCATTTCTAATGTTGGGAGTGAGCCTGATACTTGGGTGGAGAGTTCCAGGTAGAATAGTCCTGTGGACTCCTGTACAGTTCAGTTTATGTAAAAATACTAGGGACAGTGCTGGAGAAGATTGATCTTCCTGCATCAGTTCCAATTGATCTTTCTTTTCGTTTGGGGGTGGGTTGGGGGGCGGGGGTTATAGCTTTGCTGGAATTAATGAGTAGAAAGCTATGCTACGTTGGGGCGGGTTATGAGAAAGGTTAGGTGTGCTGGGTTTACTAGAAGCGGGATTCACAGTACATTTGTTCCTTGAAATAGTTTTTGTATACTCGATTACAGTTAATGACACCATATTTCAGTCTCTGCGTTTCCTGCTCGTTGCTCCATTTCCTTTCTGTGTTTGTGTCTGTATTTAAATTATATGCTTTGGGATTTGACATATCCAGGATATATTAAACTGTTTTTGATAAAATTGCAATAGGGTAATTTAAGTTTCACTTTAAAAGGTTGAGGTCCTTAATCTTATAATGTTTAAACTAGAGATAGAAATCTGAATTTATATCATTCTGGACGGAATTGGTATTCACATGTTCATATCAATCAACTCCCTCAATTTCAAACTAGCCATCATGGACTCATGGCTATGTGATTTTTTATATCCATTTGTTTCTACTTGGACTTGATTCATTTTATTACTAACTGCCTCTTATAACAGAAGAAAAAAATCGTCGCAATCTTATAACAGATTTAGTTGTTTTCATAGTTTTAATTGATTTTCAATATGACTAAACCGTAGTCTCAGCGTGTTGCTCCATCTGAGATAGCAAATATTAGAACGAGTTTGTCTCTTGCTTCTCTCTCTTTTCAACTTGTATATCAGGTTAGTTAATAGATAGCTACAAGGACTTTTTCATGCTATATAGCCTGTTTGGCCAAGTTTCATAATTCAGCTTATTTTAAGAAGTGATTTTTTTCAAAAGTGTGAGAAGCAGTTTGTATTTGGCCAAGCTTCTCCAATCCTAAAGCACTTTTTTTTCAACGTTGAAGTGTTTGGTCAACCTTTTGAAAGAAAAAGTGGTTTTAAGGAGAACTAGAAGCAGTTTTGGAGAAGCAGAAAAAAGTAGCTTCTCCGAAAGCACTTTTTTTTGAAAAAAAAAATACACTTAGAAGCAGTTTTTTAAAGCTTGACCAAACACTAATTGCTGCTCAGAAGTGTTTCAAATTAATTAGTCAAACATAAATTGTCTTTCGCCCAAAAGTACTTTTGAGAAAAGCGCTTTCGAGAAAAGTGTTTCTTAAAATAAGCTGGTTTTTGGAGCTTGGCCAAACATGCTATAATTAATTTGAAAAGCACTTATGAACAACAATTAGTATTTGACGAAGTTTTTAAAAAGTGCTTCTAAGTTTATGCTTTTAAAAAATACTTTTCAAAAAAAGTGCTTCCGGTGAAAAACTATTTTTTCTGCTTTTTCAAAACAGCTTCTGCTTTTACTTAAAACTACTTTTTTTTCTTTAGAAATTTGGTCAAACACTTTTAACTTTGAAAAAAAAAAGAATATTCTTTTTTACTTTGGAGAACCTTGATCAAACAAGCTACAAGAGTGTAACATGTTAAAATAGGTTGAACTACATTAATAATAAAACATTTCTACGATGGTCATAATTATAATTTAAGTTATTAAATCTTTTTGAGTAAGAAACATGTTAACATCAGTTGAGGTACGACTAAAATTGGAATCAATATATATAGTGGATGTAACATGCGAATGTTGCTGTTGCTTATGAGAGGTCAACTATATATTGATGGGATCAGTAAATTTGTGTGTGGTCAAAGTAAAAGGTCCAAGTCGTCCATTTGATGATGTGGTAGTTATACCGTTAGCAGGCTCTTTTAATTCTGGATTAAAGTGAAAAGTAGAAGTTTCATAAATCATCATCTTTGGACTCATACTAACTTGTCAAGTGTAGAAATTCAAAAATAGCGTGATTTACAAGTGATCATTCAAAAATAGTCACATCTTCAAAAGTAATCGAAATTTAGTCACTTCTCATGTAAAGATAAATTTGAACAAAAATACTGTTCAAAATCCGAAAAAATACTCCAGTATAATATACTAAAATTTCAGTAGTATAATATATCGTTCCAGCATGATATACTGGAGATTGGAGCAGAGCCGGATCTAGGATTTGAAGTTGGCGGAGGCTATAATTTCCTTTAATGTAACGTTTAATCGATTTTTTTGAGTTGATTTGGGTCAACCTAGTTGGTATTTTTTATTTAAAAATTACATCTCAGATATAAAAAAACAAATGTGATTAGAATTTTAAAATAGGATCACACCTTTATTATAACTACATAAGTAAAATCAATATTTTCACTGAAAAATTATATCTTTTCTGTATATTAAAAATTAATTTACACAAGTAAGATAACATCTTCAAAAAGAGAATTATATCAATCGGAATAAAAAAATTTTAAAAAATATATTCCATAGATAGATTATGCCCCATAAGCATAAATTAGATAAACTATAATTTATCATAAATTAAAATCATAAATCACATATTTTTAAGCAATGCTTACGAAATTATAGTAAAGTGATTTAAATTATATCTAACAGCCATCGCATAACACAAATTTTTATGATATAAAAAAGATGAAAAAAAATTTGATCTCAATCCAAAGTTCTCACTAAGACCCAAGTTTTTCAAATTTGAAAGAAGAAAACTCATAAATTTTTGATTAAGAGAATTGCTTATTTTATATAATTTTAAAGTTTAGGAGTCTCATTTTTTAGTGTTCTTGCTAGAGATAACATACAAAATAATAGAATAGAGAAAAGAAAAATATAAAAAATAATAATAAAACGACAAATAGAAAATTCGGTGGTAGCCGAAAAGGAAAATGCCTGGGACAGAAGGAAATAAAAGCACAAAGAAAAGAGAAAGTCAGACAAGCTTCAAGATAAATTCAACTTGAATTTTACACACGAGAGAAGCTTTCAAAAATGTCTACCAGCCATGGCACATTTGTCTAGTTTATGGTTGCGGGTGGTAGGATCAGATAATTAACCTAATTTAAGAAAATCTCAACATAGGTATATAAAATTTTATCATCTTACCGGGTGCCATGCCACCCCTTCTTAAAAGGGTGGATCCGCCCCTGGATTGGAGCACCGGTGCTCCAATCTCCAGTATATTATACTGGAACTTTCCGCGTGTTGGAGTTCTAGCATAATATGTTGGAAGTTCATATACATGTGCACCGATCTCTAGTATATTATGCTGGAACTTTTCGTGTTGCAGCAAAATGGTAGCTATTTTTCAATGACTTTACAAACACTGGTGTTTTTTAAATGACAAGACCGTAAACTAGCTAGTCTGTGCTATTTTTACCTTGTCAAGGTAATTATTTTGGTTTAAATTAGAAAAGCTATAAGAAAAAGCTTTCTTTTTTACACAAAAATCAAGGGAGTTTATTTTCAGAAATGGATATTGTTTTTCGAAAAGCAAAATAATCTAAAGCTATGTTTTATAAAGTACGTCAACAAGTAACGCTAACAAACAAATCTTTTGTTTTTCAAAATTATTTTTAAAAGCCATAATTTGTTAAAAAAACCAAAGAACATATTGCCCCACAAAAGAAAAGAAAAAGAAAAGAAAAAGTTCAAAATCCGGTGACGTGGAGATTTTACATAGTACTGCCATAATTTTGAGTAATAAATAATTAAAGAGAAAAAGGTTGTCTGAGCTCACAATTTATTTAAAATATAAAAAAATAGGTCCGATAAAGAAAAATGTGAAAAATATTAAAACTGGGGAGGTACAAAACGAAGAGATCCTCCGCCAAATTTTGGTCACACTCCAAAGCTTAACATGATACATACATTACCATTTTCATTTAAAAAAGAGTATAATGATTATTAAATTCTCGTCTTAGTACAGACATATACTAACCAATTTTTTAAAAAATAAAATTTTCAACTTAAAAGGAATAAAGTGTACAATTAAAGTGGGGGATTTGCATCTATACCCGTTTTTTGGGTCACGTTTTAACTTATACCCGCTTTGCAAAAAGAATTGCGAGCGTACCCACTTTTCGCGTAAACTTTAGGCATACGGGCCTGAAGTAGTAAAGACAATCACTCAAACTTCAGCATTCTAGTAGACGGGCCTGAAGTTATTTGCAATTGCTGAACTTAAGCATTCTACTTGCTGAAGTTTTGTTCTCTATTTGCTGAACTTCAGCATGTTTTAGCTGAAGTTTTGTCCTCGATTCAATAGTTTTTTTGAGCTTTTTCAAAAACTTCAGCAGAAGATGCTGAAGTTATTTAGTTCATTTGTAAAAACTTTAGCACTAAATAAGCTGAAGTTTTGTCCTGGATTCATTAGTTTTGTCATAAAACTTTTTCAAAAACTTCAGCAGAAGATGCTGAAGTTATTTAGTTCATTTGTAAAAACTTTAGCACTAAATAAGCTGAAGTTTTGTCCTGGATTCATTAGTTTTGTCATAAAACTTTTTCAAAAACTTCAGCAGAAGATGCTGAAGTTATTTAGTTTATTTGTAAAAACATCAATATTAAATAAGCTGAAGTTTTGTCCTGTATTCATTAATTTTGTCATAAAATTTTCAAAACTTCAGCAGAAGATGCTGAAGTTATTTAGTTCATTTGTAAAAACTTCAGCACTAAATAAGCTGAAGTTTTTGTCCTACAGTCGTACTAGCTGAAGTTTCAAAGCTTCAGCATAATAGTTCAACTTTCAAAGCTTAGTGTAAGAATTGCATCAATAAAGCCGCAATCAACTAGTTGTTTGATATTCCATTTCTGGATCTATCTGAATTCATTGCAAATATAATAAATACAGACAATGAATTATAAATAGATGAAGAAAAGTTCTAAAATGTTGTTTCAACAAAAATGACAGTCATTATGAGCAAATCAGCAGTAAAATATACTTTAAATTATAAAAATTGAAGAGTAGAAAAGAAAGGAGGAAGAAAGGAGCGCATAGGTAGCAGGAAGAAGGAGGCGTTTGAAGTTGTAAAAATTATGGTATAAGTTAAATAATTTTAAAAATATAGATATAAGTTAAATGAGGGCGACCAAATAGGGCGTCCGTGCCATTTTTACAATTAAAGTATTTGATAAAATTGCAAGTAGAATTGTACTACAATTCTTATACATACGTAAGGATGATGTTAGAGTGAAATCCAAATGTCTGAAGAAGGATGGCTCTGCTGCATCTGTCACTACCGAATTTCCCTCACTCCCTCACCTTATAAAAAAAACTTCCCTTTTTCTCTCTTTTAATTAAAAATTAATTATTCAACATCTCTTGATCTGATCCCTATTCCTAACTAAAAACAAAC